ATAAAGCACAGCTTTTAGATCACGCACAGAAACAACACCTAGTAATTTAGTTCTGTAAAAAAACCTAAAGACAAACTTAGCTGCACTGAGAATTATATACTACAGCTATCAATAGTGAAATTAATTTCCTTGTGACATAATTTCAAAACATAAAGTGATGTGAAATAACTTGGACTAATTCAGATAGAGACTTCTTGCAAATTGCATGACGGAGTATGGAAACGCATTTCCTCTTGTTTTATTTGATAAACCCATTCAGGTACTAACTTACAAATGACACCATAAAAGATCGCATTTTGCATTCTGAACTTTCGGTTCTTTCTTCATACTGTGTAACTTTATTATGGAAATGGAAGCTGTAACTAGAATAACAATGGACTCGGAAAGGGTATACTGCAGTAAAACACAAAAACTCCCTCAATTTGTTTCTAATCTCATCCCCTCCAAGTCCTTCCACCTGTTTTCCATTAATGGCCTTCCAATTTCATTAAAGATTGCTTTTATTTTTTGTTGTTGTTGTTTCTTTTTTTTTTTTAACATATTATGTACTCACTAAAAGATGCAAAGTATGTTTAATAACTCTCTGGGAAGGTAAAAAGCAATTCTTCTGCTTTGCAACTCACACTTCAAAGAAAAAAGTTTAAGCCATGTGTTTTACAAAGAAAGCAGGGCAAACCAACCGACTAAATATAGAAGTATGTTTACATGCAAAATAATACGTATGAAAATAGCCATTCACCATTTATAATTAAAGACATTAGTAGATTTTATCCCCTAAACAATCTTTACTTATTTTTCTTCCACAAATGGTTCAAAACTATTCAGACTATGAAAACTTTTATTAATATTAAGCAACTCTATTCAACCAGCCAGCAATGGTGAGAAAGCTGACTGCACAGCTGTGACTGATACAAGAGGATTCCGCAAGAGTCACCTGTTAAGCAACTGTGAGAGAACATGATTGGCAAAGCACTGGGCGAGAAAATGGGAAAAGCATTAGTTGAAAAAATTCTCCTAACTTCCTTCACAAATTGGGCATATCTTCATTAAAAAGCATGCCTGTATACTGTCAGATTTATGACTGTCATTCAGAAGAGCAGACAAGGCCCTGATCTTATACTCTCACATAGGAACCTTCAGAAGATTGAGCTAGACTGGACAAACTTTGTAACTTCTTGCATATAGTGGAAATCAAAGTTCAGACTGAACAGGTCCCATCTTTTCTCAAAGTTCATTGTAACTATTTTTGCTCATTCGGAGACAGCAAGTTCCAAACTATACGAAGCCTATGAGTTAAAAATTTCTACCATTGTCACTCTGTCCAAATAAAAATACACTTACCCTCGTCCTCACAAATGACTTTGCTGAGTGCACAGACAGCTCAGTTAAGTTGGTGAAATTGACCACATGTTTCTGGACAGCTGTGCATCTTTTTTTGTCAATTCAATCTACAGGATCATATTTGTTTCAATCCAAATCTTAAACTGTTATCTGTTATATCTGTTATAACTGTTTTATTTTCTGCAAGTTGTATGAAGTATACAATTTCTTTGCCAAAGGATTATTGACCTGGTTATCACACAGTGACCTCAAGTGCAGCAGAATTCACAGACAGAGCATTCGTGGATATACTGTGTTCTACTTCCCTACTTAGCACAGCAAGGTCTCCCTGACTTAAGGCAAAGCCACTCATTCAGTAAAAAGGAAAAATTAGATGGCTTGAGTAAGATCCAATCTCATCTAAGGAACTATACTTTTGTGCCTAAAACAAAAGAACCCAAACAGCATGCATATGATTTTGGAAGCACTTGTGCACATGAGTAACATGCAACTTTTCCATTTCAACTACAATATCAAGCCTATCTAGAACTGTACTTCTTCATGAAAAAACAGGTAAGTTACAAGTAAGCCTATAGTTTTTAGCTACACTGAGGCTCTGAAATAATATGTACTATTTGCTGCTACTTTTTTGCACTTGAAAAAGACTCCATATTTTAGGACAGAACTTGATCAGCCTCAGTTCACTTTACCTTTATGTACAGGAAACTCTCTTAAAATTCAAATTAGCCAAAAGCAACAAGTCACAAGAATACCACACCAGTAAGTGCTATGAAAATGGTTCATTACATGGCATAAAGCATTTTTCTTACATTTATTCATGTAGGTTCTAAATCATACTTTCAATGAATGAATGAAGAACAATTTCCTAACAGCAGTTGAAAATGCCTCTTTGCAAGGACAGAAACCCTACTATAAAAGTTAATAAAATACAATATGCTTGCAGTAACAGTCCTTACTCTAATTTTTAGGAAGCTTTCCATATTCTGTATGCTTCTCTGCTTGGAGTACACATGTGTAGTAACAACTCCTTGGAAAGCAGTAACTTTAAGAGTCAGAATCAGTAAGACTTCAACAAAGCGAAAAGAGAAAAATATCTAGTCACATTCAGTAGAAGGGTAAGTACTTTAGCCCTTCCCAAAGAGCAGTATTTAAGGAACCCATTCACACAGGGCTTCCTTCAGAACCACTCTATTTCAGGTTGAGGAATTTCAGAAAATACGTGAAGCATAAATGAAAGACTCCAGATTCATGTGTGTATCTGATACAATGGAGAAAAAAGTTTAACTCATTTTCTACAGGGTTGTAGCTACAACCTGCAAAGGCATATTACCTGCTCTTAGTAAAGACATAAAACTGAAAAATGAAAAAAAGAGCAATCATTTAAATTGCAGTAAAACTGCACCACATTTAGAAAATTCTACTATTAAAAAAGGCAGAGACTGTCATTTCTCCACAAGCTCACAAAGAGATTATGTTACATTTTTGACTTTTTATTATCAGCTGAATTTTCTGAATATAAAAGTGATTTACTCCTTTCCTGGAAAGGTTTGTTTCCTCTGCCTTTATTTTCCCCCAAAATTTGTCTACTCCATTTCAATATAAATGTGAAGACAAAGATTCAGTTTCAAGATCTAGAATGCTGTAGGATTTTCTCCAAAGGTGTTCATAAAACTGGATCCCAAGTTTTGAACATTAGTCTTTATTAGCTTACTCAGAGAAAATTAAGAGCAAATTTATTTTTATCTAGCAGTATTAAGTGTTATCCACAGTCAATATATTTATTGTGTTCTCATATACAGAACATCATATTTAGTAAAATTCCAGTTGAAAGACTATTTGAAAATATGGTAATCTTCAGTTGGAAAAGGTTTTCAAAGTCACAAAATTGGCTGGAAACTAAAATAATACAACCACTTTTTCAATCTCTCTCATCTGTTGTGAGCCAAGTGAGATACCAAAAGGAACATGTAATACAGAATATACAATTAGCTACACAGGAGTGATCAAAAGTGTACAGAAATTGTCAATACCACCACCATATATTTATTTTTATCAACTTTTACAAAGTATGTCTTACAATAGCATATAATGGTTTAAGGCTTCATAAAAGTAAACTGAGAAAGACTCAATGCTTAATAGTGAAGCTACAGGGGGAAAACATCCCTTAACAAGAATTGGAAAATTAGATTTTAAAACACTTTTGAAAAAGAACAAACAACACTCTTCCATTTCCTGTCGGAATGCCATCACTCTTCTGCCAACTACAGAAGCTTCTATGCCCCATTTTGGCCACTTCTCCCACAAGATTTCAGGATTTCTCATTTGCCATTCCTGGTGTCTGGAACACCCACCTTCCTTCTCTTGAAGTCCCATTCTAAGATCCACTTCTGCAACATTGCCTACAGAAAGAGTAGGCATCTAAAACACTCATTCACTGTGTCAATAACGTGCTAAGCATCAGACTTCACTACAGCATGGCTTTCATCTCACTTCACCTTTCTTACTACAGCATAACAATTTCTCTCTCAGTGCATAAAATCTAGAAGAGGAGACTTACTAAGAATCACTTTGGAGAACAAGTGTCTATTATTTTTGAGTGTGCTAGCTGCACCTCTTAGCGCTCACAGGAAGGAAAGTATGTTCAACATTATAAATATCCCATTGTGCCTGTGTGCATCTGTGGCACATGCACGCATATAATAGACGTAAACAGAAAAAAGCAGCCCATTTAGTTTTCTTTACACTGCAGTACATCTTAATTCTTTGCTGGCTCACCTGGTATTTCTCAAAGTAACTTGTGAAACTGATTTGGAAAGCTACATTGAAGTATTTTGTTTTGTTTTAAAAAGCTGCCTACTCTAAACCTACTTCCTTTTCTCTTTGAAAATCAGGATTAAAATTAAACCAAGAGTGTATAGGAAATGTTTATGTTTACATAGGTCAAGGTCTATCAAGACTTTGTGCACATCTGCTATTAAACAGCTATATTTTTGGACATGGATGCAGGCAGACTTTTGAAGCAAAGAAACTTTTCTGAAAGTTTTTTGGTTTTTTTTGGTTTGTTTGTTTTGGTTTGTTTTTTTTAAATTGAAAATAAAAAATAGCATATCTATTGCTTACACATATGAAATGCAAGCCTGTCATGAGATGGTATTACTGACCTTCAGGTAACATGAATCTCATGATTCTTTCAGTGTGCCATATATTTCTACATGTCACTAATTTATTTCTTTCAGGAATAAACAGAGTTTTACATATGCCAATCAAGTTCTAAACTACAGTAATACACTATCAAGGGGAAAAATATTTTTAAAATATTTGTTTTGTAACTTTGTGTAAATACAAATGGGAAGTAGAATACTTGAAATGTAATATGCAGAACCACAAAAAACCCACTGTAGACACAACACAAAACCATAAGATATAATCAATAGCCCAAATTAAGTTACAAACACAATTCTTAAAGATGAAAAAATAAAACCCTGGCAAACATATGGCTGAAGTTTCCATGCATAAACTCACTAAAATTAAAGCTCTTGCCACTGAAAACACTCTCATTCACAGCTTAAAACTAAATTAAGCCCTTCCTCACAGATGTTTCATGTACTTGAAACTACCTTGCTACTGAAAGAGGTAAAAAATGAGCTCATTCAACTTACATCTTTTTCTGACCGATGTGGGAACATCGATGACTGGCTGTAGTACATGTTTTCATCATGGTAGTCACCATCAACCCCCTCTACAAACTTCTTCCTTGAAGCACCAAACATGCTGTTTGTCACCTAAATAAGAAGAAAAATTATTATATACCATATATGATTTGTTTCACTACATACTTGTAATAGTATATTTCTTAAATATATGTAAGGATTGTTAAAAAAAACCCTGTTTCTACACATTTGAAAAACTCTTAAAAAATGTTTTCTGTGTAATGCCAATGTAATGATTCTTCCAAGGTTTTCATATGACAGAAACTCATATTTCAGAAAGAAGTGAGGTGGTGAGAGGGGACATGCTTCAATTTTGGAGAGGTTTTGGTTGGTTGGTGAGCTCTTTTAAGTCTCATGACCATTAATTCAGGTTTATTTAAAAATATACAATGTCAGACAACAGAAGAGCAAATTTATAAGTTTCTTCTCTCTTCAGATAAATGCTTTCCATGTAAAAGACAAAAAGTTCGGAATGTTCCTTAGAATTCAGACACCTTATAAGAAATAACAATTAGAAAAGGAAGGAAAAAAAAAATACATCTGTAAAATCACTCCCATGTTTCATTGCCACAGCTTTGGACAAGCAGCTTTCTACTTGACCCTGCGCATTCGGAGATGTGATTAAGTAAGACAAGGTCGAACTTAACAACACTCAACAACCCCATCAGAGACTGGCAAAGTTACTGCAGACAGCCCATAAAAAACCACTAGATTTTACTTTGCCCTTACTCCCAGAGGCGTGCACACATACAGACAGAGCTGCTAAGTCAGGAACTGGAAACTGAAGAAACAGCAACCACACAGCTGGTCACAGAACCTCAATTCATTAGAAAATTCAATCCCACAGCAAGGTCATACAGCATCACTAAAACACCTACCACATGCAGTGCATATTTATGCACCTGACTGCTATTTATGTAAAAATACACACACCTCTGTTTAAATTTCTAATCTAGCTGGCTGCAAAACACTATCACAGTGCAGTGTGGGCTAATCAAGCCCTGTTTTCACCTAACAGGTTAATGTTCAAACCAGAGGAAATGGCACACACTGGTCAGCACCCAGCAACTTGCCCAGTTTCTAGTACCATACAGGGAGACTGGAGAGAGAGCAACCAACAGGATGCCAATCAACCCTGAGCTACTGCCCTTCATAACACACCTTCAAACAGATCTTTAACATCCTGAAAGGTAAGGAAGCTAAGTTACAGTTAGCTTACTAAATGTTCTGAGCCTTAAGATTTACTATGTTCACTACTGACAGCAGTGGCTAAAAAAAAGTAGGACTATTATTTTTTTTTTAAGAGTCTTTTTGCACTACCTTAAGCTCACACTTGAAACTGAAATTTCAAAACATTTATTCTGGTCGGCTGCAGGGAGAGTTACTTTCAGCTTGAAATCCTCTTATCCCTACTAACACAAAATTACTCTGATATTCCTCACAGTGCAACTTACTCAAATTCTACCTTTACTGACAAAGATTTCAAAGTGGTGTTTAATAACATGGGCGCTTCTATACTAGTCACAACCTAACCCCATGATTTCAAAGTCATAGGAGTTTTGAGTAAAAGTAAAGTAAAAACTTGGGATGCATTTAATACAGCTATAACAGAATTGCCCTAAAATATTCAGCTAAATGAAAGCCACTACTCCTACAAGAGGGTTTCAGGTATTTAGACTACTGGTGTATCCCAACAAATTTATAATGCTACACACATGAAGGTGTGTAAAGGTACTGCACACCTTCCTCAGATGAAACATGTATTTCATGATATTACAAAAGTGTGCAAATATAAGGTCCCAAACTGTTTGAATGCATTCAGCTGATTCTCACACTTGTAGTGAAGCTTTCATTACACTATAAGCATATCCCACTGTGATAATCCCCTTACAATGCAATTATCACCTACCAGATGGGATGGAGCATTTAACAGGCTAAGGGGATTATCTTGTCCTTTGCTCTGCTGAGTGAAGTGTGGAGAGATGAGCAGTTGCCTTTAACTGCTGAAGAAAGAATAGTAAAATGCTTTGGTGAAGCTATACCGAGCAATGAGAAGCTGAGTGTTTCAAGCAACTACTGCTCTTCAGAAGGTAAAAGACAGCTCCTCTCAAGTCCCAAAGAATTTCTGGTGTTCCTTAAGAGAAGAATTTTATTATTTATTTTTTTTTGCCACACAACCTTTGCTTGTGATACATCATCATCAGAACAATGTTTAATCGTGATAGAAAGCAAGTCACTGAAGCATACACCATACAGTACTAATGTAATACCTAACCCTGAGCTATAGTACAGGAACTATACAAGGGGAAAAAACAATAATGTCTTTTACCCTGTAGCTTTTGATCTTATTTCCGCAAAGGTTTACACATGGCTGGCTACACACACACCATAAAGATTTCCAAGTCATTGGGGTAAGGTCAGATCTTTCAGTCTCAAAATACATGTTTGAACCTGCTACAAGTAAGTTCATCTGTCAAAATATGAAGGCTAATACGGAAAAGCTGAAAGATGTTTTAAACACTCTCTATTAAAATTTAAATATTCTAGAAGATAATTTTCTATATTGATAATTGCATGAGACATTGGCCCAAAAACTAATCAGGATTGTGCCCTGAAGACTGATGAAGTGCACCAATATTAATATGGAGTCTCACTAGAGAATGACTATTAAAAAAAGAAATTAAGAAAACTTTTAATAATTAGATAGATTGAATATTGATATTTTTACTGGCAACCCATATTTCTATAATACCTAACAGGACCACACTGATGAACTCCAGAGATCAGAGCAGTGTCTTGCTGTCTGCAGCTGCAGGGGAAGAGGGAAAGGTCAAAGAAGCCCTGCGTGCAACCCAGCTGCACTGCTGCACCTGACTGCTCTGAAGACCTTCAAAAACTTTTTGCAGAGACTGACACTTCTTCACAGCAGAATGTTTGTAAGCATTTCTGTGTCATTCAATGCTGCCAAGCGAAACAGTCGTGTGCAGCGCTCAAGCTGTCCATGCTCCCAAGCGAGGAAAGCGGTACAGGCACTGGAGGGCATTCTGGCAGCTGCCTGCACCCCTAACAGGATTTCCCTTCATTGGAAAGAACTGCCACTTGTTCTCAGGCTGAACCACAGCACAGATCACAACAGAGAAACATGGCATTGCAATTCACGCTGCTACCCAGCCCCATTACAAGACTAAGAGCACAATAAAATGAGGCAGCCGCTAAAGACCAGTAACTGAAAGGGCAGAAACTGGGACTAGAGACTGAAGCTGCAGCTGCTGTAGCCAGGCCCAGTTTCTGCCCTTTCAGTTACTGGTTCTTGCATGTTCTTAGCCTCATATCAGATGGTGATTTATCTACTTCCCAGTATTTGCCAGCAACAGCAAAAGGCTGGCAAACTTTAGAATTGGAGCACCTATCCCCATGCAGACTTTTATTATAGCAGGTTTACACAATGACGATGTGCGATGATGCCAAGTTAGCAGCAGGCATCTTCCTATCCACATTAACTTACCCCAGTATTCACTAACGTTTTCATTAGTCAGTCATGCTACAAGCATATGTATAGATACTGAAAAAACATTGCTTCAGTACTGTTTGCAAGAGGGTGTGAGATAACTGAGGCTGTGCCAAATACAGGCAAATGTGCAGAGGGAACTTGGTTGCTTATTTCTCAGGACAAAAAGACATGAGTAACCTCATGTGCAAAGACTGCAGCTCCTTTTTCACACACAGATAGCTCAGTGTCCAATTGGCTACAAAAGTAAATACAGCAAAGTACATGCAGCACTTACTAAATACATGTCAAATCCTTTGGAAAGCAGAAGTGACCTGAGGCTTTGTACCTTTTCAGGATCTACACTGATGAGGTGGAAGGCAGAAATCAGCTCCTGAATTCAAGTCATACATATATATTCATATATCCACAACTATACACATGCACATACATTTTTATGCCTGCACACACATTTTCCTGCACTTGGGTCACAACACCCCATCTAACGCTACAGGCTTGCAGAAGAATGGCTGAAAAGCTGCGGAGCAGTAAAGGACCCGGAGGTGTTGGTCAACAGCCAGCTTAATATGAGCCAGCAGTGTGCCTGGGTGGCCAAGAAGGCCAATGACATCCTGACTTGTATCAGGAACAGTGTGGCCAGCAGAGGTAGGAAAGTGACACTCGCCTTGCACTTGGCACTGGTGAGGCTACACCTGGAATACTGTGTTCAGTTCTGGGACACTGAGATGCTGGAGTGTATCCAAAGAAGGTCAAAATGGTGAAAGGTCTAGTGTACAAGCCTTCCAAGGAGCAGCTGAGGGAATTTGGATTGTTTAGCCCAGAGAAACAGAGGCCGCACAGAAACCTTAACGTTCTCTCCAACTACTTGAAAGGAAGTTGTAGCAGGTGGGGGTCAGTGTCTTCTCCCAAGTAACAATCAATAGAACAAGAGGAAATGACCTTAAGTTGTGCCAGGGGAGGTTTTGACTGGATATTAGGAATTGTTTTTTTACCTGAAACTGTTGTCAGGCACTAGAACAGGCTGCCCAGGGAAGTGGTTGAGTCACTAACCCTGCAAGTATTTAAGAGATCTGTAGATGTGGTACTTAGGAATATGGCTTAGCAGTAGACTTGGCAGTGCTAGGTTAATGATCAGACTTTACGATCATAAAGGTCTTTTCCAACCAAAATGATTGTATGATTCTATACCAACACATCTTACAGAACTCGTACTCCAGTTGAACAGCAATTTATTACGTTAAGAATTGCTGTCTAGTCAGCCTAACTTCAAGCAGATCCCTCTCCTAATCCCATAACTACTTTTCCTGCTCTAATGTGGGAACTGAGTCCTCTGTTGCACAAGACAAACTGGCAGTGTAACCACTCATTAATAATGTAAAAATGGTGCACTTCTATCAATTCATCCTTTAGAATAATATTGCAAGAAGTACTTACATGGGTAGACGCGTACAAATATTATTAGAAAATATTTGTGGTAACAAAAAAAGAAAGGGAAGGAGCTCCATGTTAGGATGGAGTTCAGAGAACTAACTACCCATGTGACCACAAACCATGCCCAA